TATACATGAAATGTCTGAGCAGTCACTGGGGGTCTAGAAAAAAAACTACATGGAATTTTAATCTGATTTTTTGCGTGCTTCATAAGGGTGATATAAACTACTTCCAGTAAAAATTTCAGAATTTTCTGAGCACTCTAACTATTTCTTTTGTAATTTAGCAAACTCGGATGATCCCGGTCCAGCCCGAGGTCCTCGGGAGCTTTTGAGTGTCCAGTGTCATTCTAAACTCTTTATTGGTCTATTTTAAGAGTTTTGATCGTGGAAAACCGGAAAACGGACGGAGAAAAATCGAATCAGTACGGTGACAAGTGTTCTGGCCGACGAAAATGCGCGCCAGTCCGTCCGATGGCCGACGAAAATGCGCGTCAGTCCGTCCGATGGCCGACGGTTCTGACCGTACGGTCGATCATAATTTTTTTTTTCGATTTTTTTCATTTTCTCCCACTCTGAAAACCTTCTAACCACGATTTTAAGAGTTTTTATCGTGGAAAATCTGAAAACGGACGGAGAAAAATCGAATCAGTACGGTGACATGTGTTCTGGCCGACGAAAATGCGCGCCAGTCCGTCCGATGGCCGACGAAAATGCGCGTCAGTCCGTCCGATGGCCGACGGTTCTGACCGTACGGTCGATCATAATTTTTTTTTCGATTTTTTCATTTTCTCCCACTCTGAAAACCTTCTAACCACGATCTTAAGAGTTTTTATCGTGGAAAATCTGAAAACGGACGGAGAAAAATCGAATCAGTACGGTGACATGTGTTCTGGCCGACGAAAATGCGCGCCAGTCCGTCCGATGGCCGACGGTTCCGACCGTACGGTCGATCAAAATTTTGTTTTTCGATTTTTTTCATTTTCTCCCACTCTGAAAACCTTCTAACCACGATTTTAAGAGTTTTTATCGTGGAAAATCTGAAAACGGACCGAGAAAAATCGAATCAGTACGGTTACATGAGTTCTGGCCGACGAAAATGCGCGCCAGTCCGTCCGATGGCCGACGAAAATGCGCGCCAGTCCGTCAGATGGCCGACGAAAATGCGCGCCAGTCCGTCCGATGGCCGACGGTTCCGACCGTACGGTCGACCAAATATTTTTTTCTCGATCTTTTCATTTTCTCCCACTCTGAAAACCTTCTAACCACGATTTTGAGAGTTTTTATCGTGGAAAATCTGAAAACGGCGGAGAAAAATCGAATCAGTACGGTGACAAGTGTTCTGGCCGACGAAAATGCGCGCCAGCCCGTCCGATGGCCGACGATTCCGACCGTACGGTCGACCAAAATTGTTTTTTCGATTTTTTCATTTCCACCCACTCTGACAACCTTGTAACCACGATATTACGAGGCTCGGGCGTGGAAAATCGGGAAACGACCGACCGAAAATCGAATCCGACCGGTGAAATGCGTTTTGGCCGAGAAATCATGCACGCCAGTCCGTCCGATGGCCGACGGTTCCGACCGTACGGTCGACCAAATATTTTTTTCTCGATCTTTTCAGTTCTGGCCACTCTGGAAACCTTCCAATCACGATTTTGGCAGGTTTGAATGTGGAAACTCGACAAATGATCGACCATTTTTCAAATCCGAACGGTCCCTTAGTTTTTCTCCGCCGAGAGAACCATGCCCGCCAGTCAACGGACGGTGGTGCACCACCGATCCCACGATCGCAACCCTTCCCATCCCGCTGTACGACCCATCCCAAGACCAGCCCATTAAGGAAAGGCATAAATCGTAATATGTCCAAAAGTGTGTTTATGAGTTGTAATTTTTTAAAAGCCACTTAAGGAAAGCTTGTTCTTCATCCTTCCTTCCTCCCTTCCTCCCCACGTCCTGAAATAGGATAGTGAATGGGATCTGCCGAATTTCAAAAGGCGTTAACTTTTGCTAGAGTTATCCGTTTCTGGATTTTTTTTTTT